TTTAAATTATACAAAAATTGCAAAATTTTAATTCAGCTTCGAAAGCATTTTATTCTCTTCTTCTTGATGTATTTATTTGTAAAATTTAATTTAAAGTTAATATGTAAAAAAATAAACCATCAGGTTTCAAAGTTTATATGTTATTTTATATATTTTTGCTATAAGTTTATATATAAAAAAATTTAGTTATGACTTATTGTGTGATTGATATAGTATAATATGACTTAGATTACTATATAAATTATATGGGTCGATTTAGATGATATAACCACTATTAGATGCATTTTAATAAGCTCTGCAACATTTTCATAATACAGAAGATTAATTAACTTAATAAAAAAAAGTTTTTCTTGAATGATCATAGCATTTGAGATATATATAATTTATATAGTAATCTGAGTCATATTATACTACAGTCGACTCTGGTTAAACTGAACCTCTTTAAACTAAACACTTAATCAATTCTCTGAGAACTGAACAAAAAACTTTAGAACATTTGTAAATTTTATTATAAAGTTCGTATTAGCAATATATAACTCTTTGAGAACTGAACTTTTAAAAATTTTTACATATAAAAATTCTTAAATACATTTTTTTGCGGAATAAACAGAGTAGACTGTATATGTTTTGTTCTGTTGACTTACAAATCATCAAATAAAAAGAAATAATAAAAGAAAATGAAAATTATTATGATTCACAGTCTATAAAATTTACAGGTTTGTATTTAGCCAATCAAATTTACTATAGTTTACTTCAAAAAAAGTTTTCTATTTAAGTTAGAGTTGGTTAAGATTATAATAAATAATGAATTTTATAGTAAAATTTAGCAAGGAATTTTTTACTTATAATACCAAAGGCGGTTTCTTAAGCTAAATTTTGTATTATAAGTAATTTTTTATAAAAAAACTTTGCTTTTGTTATACAAAAAAAATTTGCAGATCATACTAATTCTGCAATTTTGATTGATCAGATGCAGGGCTGTAAATTTTACAGCCTGTTAAGATTAGCAATTTTCAAAGAAAATATATGAGGTTATCAATAGAAACAGCCTATTTTTACAATTTTTTAAAAATTGAGTTTTATTACTGTAGATTCATATAAATTTGATATGATTAATATTTTTCAATTATAGGAGTATGGCAACTTAGTGAAATTGGTAAGTTGTTACACTCCCAAGTGACAGGACAAGAGTTCAAATCTTACTACCGTAAACAGCTATATAAAAGACCCCCCCGTGATAGTAGACCCACCATGTATCATCCCTGAGTCTACAATATAGGTTGAGATTTTTGTAAAAATAAAAGACCCAGGTATACTAAAGAATCTAAAATGATAAAAGATCTGGGTATATTAAAGAATCTAAAATGATAAAAGATCTGGGTATACTATAGGAATATACTAAAGAATCTAAAATTATAAAAGACCCGGGTATACTATAGGATCTAAAATGATAAAAGACTCGGGTATGATATTAGCAATAATATCTGCCACCTATTGGTAACAAAAAAAACCCCCAAATAAGAAATACTACAAATTTTCTGATATCTTTTAAGCTTTATTTATTATAATTACCAGATTTCTGATAATAGTAGAAAGCTATATTTTCACCATCAATTCCATTTCTATAACAATATCCAACTTCATTCATTCCATTAGTGTCCTCATCTCCACTAATAAACCTTATTTTTACCTCAACTCTATTCACATTCCTATTTCTGTTATTTTCATATTTAATTCTATTTCTATAACACTATCAAACTTCATTTATTCCATTAATGCTTCACATTTCCATGATCTTTGACAATAAATAAACAATTTATCTTCATCTTTTCAACCTGTTTACTATACCAATAACAAAAGGTTAAACCACAGGATTGATTTGATTATCTAAGCAACAATTGATACTACTGTCTAGATTTGCTTCTTTTAAAATATTTAATCGTTTGTATATTTAATTGTATATACATGAAAAAACATACATTACTTTGCTTTGCTTAAAAAAAATGCTCTGATTGCCAACTGCCTATGATTGTCCAATGCAAAAGCATTATCCCTAATCTTCATAATTATCTGGTTCAATTTTCTAATGCACGTCTAATATGCAGTAAGTTATTCTACGATTATTTTATAGCAATTTTCAATGAGTTAAATTTTACAAAATTTTATATTTACCCATTATACAGTAAATTATTTAACGATTACACAGAATTAATACACTATTAGGTCGATTTCTGATAATTTTTTCAAATTTGCAAGTGATTCATTATACTGTATTATTTATTAAATGATAAATTGAACAGAATCATTGCCTTTCTATTAATTCTAATGCCACAAATTGATATATTCTATCACTTCGTCTTCATAATATGTGTTTTCCTCATGGTCTTCTTAATCATTCAAGTCACCATTTTCATTTGATTCTTCATCACTTTCATCATCATCTTCGTTATTATTATTGTAGTCACCACCTTCATTTGAGCTATTTTTATTATCATCCTCACAACTATTGTCATTTTTGTTTTCTTCGTCCAAGCTATCACTGCCACCATTATTTTCATTATTATTATCATCATTATCGTTTAGGGTCAAATCTATAATGCTTTCACTATCGTTTACATTGTCTACATTGACGTAGATATAATTACTATTATTATTTCGAGACTCTGGGTTAGCCACCCAATTATAATCAAACATTATATCCTCTTCGGACCCATCTTGATCAATGGAGATGCCACAACACTTAAATGACTGTTTGATAAGGTTAGGATTGACTTGGTCCCATGCTAGTTTTATCTATTTTGCCACCAAATTATAAGTGGGTCGTTGAATACGGCCTTTTGGGGTTAGTTTCTTAATTTCTTCACCCATTCAATCGAGATAGTATTTGCGATACTTAAATACAATATTGCATAAATTATGATATAAATTATGTAATAATAAATTCTGGAATATCTGAAAATTTGTCATCTCCCAAAACCTATTTTTTTTTTTAATAAAAAAAAAAAAATATATATATATATATTTTCTATTACCTTGTCTTTAAAAGACTTGTTGATATATATATCTAACAGTTGCAATTTCTTAGTGAGCCCACCTGAAACAACTGCATAATCAGTATTTTTCTTATTAAACCGGTTTTTGAATGGATCTGTAAGATGACCACTGAATGAATCCATAACCAGTAATAAACGAAGATTAGTAAACAAGCGAGCTCAATGATTCCAAATATTTTCGATCCAGTAAATCATTTCGTCAGAATTCATATACCCTTGTGGATTGGTTCGTATAATAATACCAGATGGAAATTTTTGTCTTGGTACATTGACTAATTTAAAAATTACCATGGGGTCCAATTTTGTTCCATTTGCTAAGCAGCTTAAAACAACTGTAAAGTTAGATTTTTTATACCCAGTTGTACGAATCCCAACAGTATGAGCACTAGTTTCTTCAATTGTATAATTGCTGGGCACATCAAACGCTAATGGAGTCTCATCCATATTCCCGATAAGCGAGAGAGGGTAATTGCGGTGCATACGATGAAATAATACATAATTTAAGAATTCATTTCTCAGAGGTTTCAAATCTTCTGGCAACTTCTGTGCAATAGTAGTACGCCATCTATTACTAAATTTATTTTAACGCATAAAACCTGAAATCCATTTGTCACTCCATTTGCACTCATTGATCTTTGGGTAAATTGAAGTAAAACATGATGCTTTTGCCAATTGCTTTGCTTTAGTTCTGACCATATTTTGAGTTACAACTTTTTGAGATAAACATAAGGATCTAATCCAAATTTTAAGCTCATTTTCCAAAAGCGGATATTTAGGGCGCGAGCTAATATTTAACCGTCTAACAAAAGGTGAAGCAATTTGTAATTCTTTTTTTTTTTTAATCCACTCACGCAATTGTTTTGGTGTTATATTAAATGTTTCTGCAGTGTGTCGTTTGCTTGCTGTAGGATTGTTTTCAAGATACACAATAATAGCTAACTTTTCACACGCATTTCAACTCCTTTTTTTTTTTTTAGTAATTGTTGCTTGTTTTAGATTTGCTCTATTTCGTCCTATTTTTAATACTGATACTATACACAATCTATATTAGTTAATAATATTAATAAAATCGAAATAGAGTAATAAAAAACTCTTTCCGTCAATTACTTACACAAAACTTAACTAAAAATTCGTCAGTATAAAATCCTTAATAACTCAATATTCTATTAAGATAACTGCTCC